CTCGCTGGCGCAAAGTTCGATTCGCTGGTGCAACGTTCGATTCGCAAACTATGACATCGGCCTGAAAGACCATTCTTGTTAGAGGCGGGATATTCAGATGTTGTAACTAGTTAGAAGGTACATCTATGTCGGTTTCTTTCAAGGGGACATGGAGTTAAAGCTAGTTTTCAATTCGCAGCAAAATTAGAAGCAAAACAATTTACTCAATAGAGCAGGGATCTCTCTCGAATATAAAATGTCGTGAATCACGGAATTTTAGCGGAAAATTTCCGTCGTGAAAAAAGAAGCTACAGTGATTGTGGGACAATCTAATACATCTGTCTTCAAAGGAGCCTTCTCTTTGCTATCACGTTGACGACCGCCGTTATGCGCGCACTGTTGCGAGATTTTTGTAATCTTTCGTCTTAGGATTTAAGCATTAAGATTTCAGCGTTTTCATCATCAGTAATAAAAAACTGTTTTTCGGATCCAATAATGTACATGGACCGTTGTGGAACAGAAAAAACGCCAAAAAAATAAGGAAAAGTAGTCTGCTCCATGTCGAAAGTGTGGTATGACATCATACCACACGGTCGTCAACGTGCTATACGGATACACAGAATTGTTGAGGTATTCTCGTTTTTGAAAATATTTCCAATGCGAATATTTTCAATATTTCCTCTGAATCGTTATCAACACTTGTCACAAACTATGTAAGTGGTAGCCTAAAAGATGCGCATAGGACTGCAGTGTGCTGTACTTATTGTGATTCCAATTAAATCGTACCTGTCTGCGTCACTTGTTGAGCAGCTTGAACTATAGCTGCTGTAGTACGAACGGCTCTTGTGGTATTTTTGAAAGACCTGACAGCAGGTGCTTGGTCCACAGGAGATTTTCTGACAGCATTCACTTTTTGTTCTAATGCCGTGGTTGTTGCAGTAGAACCGGTTTTTGATGTCACAGTTGTCGTTGTCGGTGGATTTGATGTCGTTTCCCCTGTGGTCGTTCCTGCTAGTTCTGATGTCGTTTTTCGTGTGGTAGAATCGGTTTTTGATGCCACAGTTGTCGTCGGTGGTGGATTTGATGTCGTTTCCCCTGTGGTTGTTCCTGCTAGTTCTGATGTCGTTTTTCGTGTGGTAGAATCGGTTTTTGATGCCATAGTTGTCGTCGGTGGTGGATTTGATGTCGTTTCCCCTGTGGTTGTTCCTGCTAGTTCTGATGTCGTTTTTCGTGTGGTAGAATCGGTTTCTGATGTTACAGTTGTAGCTGTTGTTAGCTTTGATGTCGTTTCTTCTGTAGAACTATACGTCGTAGTTCTCGCAGTAGTTGTCGTTGTTGTCGGAGCTGTGGAAATAGTTGCCGTCTTTGACGTTGTTGATCGCATCAGAGGTTTTGTCACCGCATTTGTTGATGATTTTAATGCGGTTGTTGTGTTTCTATCTGTGTGTGATGTACTCCCCTCCGAAGTTGATGTGGTCTTTGTTGTCCCGCTTGTCCTAAATGCTTTACAGTGAGCACTCCTTGAAAAGGTACCGGTAAATTTTTAGGTAAGACACATGATTTCCTTTTGTATTTTTAGCGCTTTTTTTTCTGAAGATTGTTTTGGAACGTATTGTGAGGGCGTACATGGAGGACACCTTATCAGCCGGCTACGATCAGCTTAGGGCAATATCCATGAGAAGATTTTTTTGTCGATTTGTGGATTCCACTGCAATTTTCGCGAAGCAAAGACATGGCCGGCAGGTTGCATGCAGAGATAATGAGAAGTCTGTTCTCATGGTAGGCTCTTATGATACAGGAAGTGTAATCAATCCCTCTCCCCATCAGGTGCTTCTCGTATGTTTGTCAGCCTGCGTGCCTGTAATCAAAGTCGCTGCCATTAGAAGGACCACATGAGAAGGCCGCGTCAAGTTTGAGACCAGAGGGGCTGGTCAAGATGTACGAAACGCACGTGAACAGTGCGGGTCCCCTCCCATGGTCGGTGGAGCATGCACTAAATGGGCGGCGCTAGAGGGCTAACTAATGACAAGGTTCCATAGTGATTCAGAGACCGAAAAAAATCGGTACATGCGAGCAAGGCGGGTGGATTCAAAAACTGGAGAGATTAGCAACGTCTGAGGTGTGCTATACATATAGTACATGCTTCACAATGAGCTTATTCATGCCACCAGGGCGCCCTCATCTGGGGCATGCTTACCGCAAAAATTCACAACCCTTCCCCAGGACCGCGAAGAGAGCTAATAGCTAAGGAAAAGCTGTTAAAGACTGATATCGAAGGCAATGGTGATGGAGGCGACCGAAACCAAAAAATCCAATTGTCTGTCAGATATCAATATCAGTATTCATAAAATATAGAAATATTGATATGAACGTCCACCCACAACTTTTATTGTTACAGCTCAAAAAAACTGATGCAACTGGACCTCTTGCTGCTACACTGAATAATTCAGAGTCCATTTTCTTCAGGTGCACGTGCTGTAGGGCGGCCATAGAGTAACCACTGTGTGTCGAATTCAGAAGGAGCGTGTTATAAATATTTGCTTGAGCAATAAGTTATCCGCCTTTTTTCAGGCTCATGGTTCTTTGATTTTTTGCTGATTATTTTCAAAGGTTATGATGTAGTCTGAAAGCGCTCAATCTCTTGTACATTTTGATGTACAACACTTGTGTATTTACTTCACTATGGAGCTTACACACTAGCAAAAAAGATTGCCCCTGCTACATGAGTGCAAGTTGAGCTCGAAACCGAATGCTTCTGCATCTGCTCGTAGAATCAATGAAGCCTGGGATGAAGGCACGGTTGCAGAGAGGACTGTTCGAGAGCGTTTGTTGATTACGCATTTATTGTTGTTTTTGTTTGGTTTTTAATAACTTCCAAGTAAATTTATAACGGCGGATAATTATTGCTCAACCCAATGTTCATGGGAGCTACAGAATGCGATATGAGGAACTTTAAGTGGCATAGAAGATATCCAAAAGCTGTGCAAAGTTAGTTATATTATGCGCGTGTATTCCTGTCCGCGCTCGGCTCCAGCAGCAGCAGTAAGAATGTGTTAATCGTCAGAATTTATCAGCTTCAACTCGACGTCATTCATCGAACGTGGGGATGGGGAGTGGTGTGCCGCATGATCCGGGAATTTGTATTCGAAAGACACCACAAGCTTGAGCAGACCCTGAACTTGTGGAAGTTAGGGGTGGTATGTCTCGGTCATCACTGGTTAATGCTTCTTTTCTACGATATCCGTTAGGTCAGGAATTCTCACGATGACCAACAGTGTAGTCTGTATATGTCTCTGCTGATGAGGCTATCCAACGGTCCTTAGCAAGAGCTCAAGCTTCAACTAACTGCAGAACCGCTTAGTCTTATGAGATCGCTATAAGCTCCCAGGAACCATACCAAGGCGCTTCTAGTTCAACTGATCCACGACGGCATGTTGCCAACGGAACTGATATATACATATATCAATTAGATTAGAGTGCATCAAGAATCAAAAACTTATGTTCGCGATTTGAAGGATTAGGTTATTCTAGAACCAGGTCATTCATCATGCATAAAAAACACTTGCATAAGATAGCCCTGTAGTGTAGCCTTCGGTAACAAAGATCTTATTAACTCAAATACCTTGTGGTGCTCGAAGCTGTTGTAGTATGAACCGTCGTTAAACATTTTGGCACCGTTCTGCAGTAGTCTTCCTTCTCCATGGCTTAAAAAGTGTTATAAAAATTGCTCTGAATGCTTTCCTGATTGAAGGAGGCGGTAAGGCTGAGGTCAAAGAAGGAGAACCTAGCCAGTGGAAAAAACTGGCGACCCGCTGGGGTGGTGACTATACAATCGTAGGCAGTAATTAGGTCGCACGCGCATGGGCGCCGCAGGCCAGGCTATCCAATATCGCAGAGCGCAATTTGCAAAAGAAGCTACAGCCAATACAACCAAAGCTATATGGTGATCATGATACATGCAATCATGATGTTCTCTGCAAACAGCTCAGTAAAATAAGCATAATGAAACATGAAATAGGAACCACCTTAACCTTTAAAATGCAGTTTCGTTTTCGCTCGCCGTTATTACATACTTATCATATCATGCTTATGTTTGAGCCTTCCTCGCCGCTACTCTGTGTCTTGATACGCAATATTCTTTCCGATTGAACCAGATTATCACTCTCTGATAGAAATTCAGGAAACTGATTAATAAAGAAGTCAAATTGAAATCCTAAAGGACAACCTTTACACGGTACAGTTTGTACTGCGAGGCTTAAATCACTGCAGGGATCTTACAGTGACGCTTGCTGGCTTACTGATGTCCAGCACTCTGGTGTTATCAGTCACCTAGCCAACTTATGAGCATGGATGGATAAGAAAAGGTCCACACAGAAATCGCCGCAGCAACTGCCGCACGCGACGATTCTCGCCGCGTGAGCGGCGTGACCTCATTAGCCGACGATTGTATAGTCCGTCATCCGACCTCGCATGAGGGGTGAGCACCGACACGCAATTCGCAGGGAAGGATATGCTTCTGGCAATCGCGTGGTTGTCCCTGCGGAGCTATCGACGCGGCACAGCCACCGTCTGCCAACCACTGCGCAAGGACGGTAGTAAAGTACCCTTAATAGCATTCGAAATGGTAAATTTTTTCCCCATTAGAGCGAGGAAACAATGCACTTGACAATATGGCACATTTAACTTTACTTCATGAAACACACCATGCCTCGCCACACTACGCTTCGAAAACTTGATTCCACTCACGGACAGTACGCAACGGTATAGGTGTTTAAATCTCGGGTACCCCCCAGGAGGCCCGTCGCGCGGCAAGAAGGCAGAGTCGGCGGACGAGTTGCAGCGCGTGGTGTGCGATGTAGGACGTGCATGGGACACTCTATTTAACTTGACGCGAAATCCCTATAGTACGCGCGCGACTCGTCCGCTGACTTTGCCTTCTTGCCGCGCGACGGGCCTCCTGGGGGTACCCGCAAATCTATAGTTAGACTGCTCGGAGCAAACGTGCTGCTCCAGCAACTTTGCCAGCGGCAGCATGAAAGGTTCTCATTGAGCCAGTGTAAGTTTACCATGGTGGAAATGCTGAGCATCCATTGCCACTATGGCAATCTGGATTTGCCTACAAAGCTTGCGTCGCACAGCTCGGGTTTGAACCTTTGTGCACCGTCCCATGTGCGACATCACTGCACTGAGAGCCCTTCTTATCGACAGTGAAAGAGTTGTAGCGAAAGGCAATAGCCTGCGAAGGTTGCAAACCTTTACACATCTCGAAGAATTGATCCCGGGCCTTTCGTTTTCAACACCTCCTTTGACCCATCCAGCCTCAAAGTTTGGATGTGGCCATCTCTAAAAAGTCCTCCGGAGGACTTTTTAGAGATGAAGTGGCAGCATGTTTGCGCCCTCCACCGCGCGCGCACTATTTTTTCTCTGCCGCCATCGTTGTTAGTTTTTGGATGACCACCCTGCTAATCCTCTTACTAGCACGTGATGTCATCACCCCACTTCCGAGTGAGTTCGAACTCACTTCGACCATTCTGACGGGGAATCTTCGGAGGGGTTCCAGAGGTGCTCTACGCATATTTTAGGGTAACTTCGTTTGGAAGCCATCACCAAGTTACCACGAGCTCATGGTCACATGGTAACTAGCAGTTGAGGCCACTTTACTACCGTCCCAGGTCTCTTGCCATTCAGCAAGAGAGGCATTAATGTTGAAGAGGGCAGCACCCATGAGAGTCGCAATGCGGAAATCAGGATCCTGCTGATTCATGTTCTGTTCTGTTTCTAATGGTTTTATCTTCATCCGGGCACCACTGATCACGTTTAACTTGATTTCGTGAAGGCTGTCTTTTCATCATGAGCGACGTTGAGTGGCTAGAGAGAGAGCAAGGAGTAACAACGACGGCGAAACATCAAGCAAGAAGGAAAAGAGCTTGAGTTGTGGCATACGTGACGTCACAAGAATGCTGGGTTGTGAACAAAACTTTCGCCCCAGGCGGGGCTAGAACCCGCACCTCTCGCTTTCCGGGCAAGTGCGCTACCAGTTACGCTACCGGGGCACCATTTCATTCCAACTCAGCTTTCTATGGTGTACTTACCACTGCTTATCAGCGCTCACACATCCAACGTGGTGAGCCGGTTGGCCGTCATAGGGAATAAGTCGCAGGCTGACAACTTTAGCAAGCAATTTTGAACTGTTTTTGATCGTTATCTGCTCTTTTGGCTGCAATCGTCTTACGAAAGTTTTGCAGGGGTGCTGGGTTGGTTATGAAAAAACTTGAAAAACACTAGACGTGGCCGAGTTAGGGTTCAGTAGAGCTCCGCTATTGAAACTTGTAGCGCGGATGATAGTTGCTAATCGAAATTAACATGTGCGAACGAGCTCGTTTGGTGGCTGGTTCGTGCAAGCGGAAAATAAAAATCCTATTCATTAGGTCTTATGCCGTTTTCTCAATTTTTTTTTTGACCAGTGCCCCTACCACCTTTATTTTCAGCTCCAAGAGGGAACGAGTTAACCTACCATCCACTTTAACAGGCAAACTCCGAAATTTCTTTTTCTTCGCTTTCTATCTTAAAAATTTGATTTTCACTAGAATGAATGACAACGTTCTCGATAATGGTCGTAACATAGGCTTTGATGTTGATTTTCGCAGTTGAAATCCGCTAAATATTCCCCTACGACCTTCCAAACAACGGCTTAACATCTAGTGTCACGTCTTGGAAGGTCACGAGGAAGGTCACGTGGAGCGGTGGGCGGGCTCAATGGGGTTGGACGGTGCCAATGCTCCGTTCTTAGCTCATAGCGCCTTAGACTTGTCAATCCACCCCACAATTTCTCCACTTCCACACGCTTGCACTCCACTGCATATTCAATGTGGGAGAGCTAAACTTTGATCAGAAATCTCGAACTGTGCCTTTAAGTATACTCACGTCGATCGCAGAGAACATCGAAATCTTCATCACATGGTCCAAATGAGAGTTCATCGGATCCTTTCGTTATAAAAGCGCACGTGCTCGTGTTCGTAGCATTCTGGAATGGAATCACAGAATTTACAGCTGCTCTTCCTTCATATATGAGTTTCTGTAAATTGCACATCTTTCAGAAAGCAAATCGCGGAGCCTGACAATGTGCTTCTCTTCCCGTGTTATCGTAGATTTATGCTGAATCCCAGAATATATTCTAAAATTTTGCAATTTCAATTCATTACTTTGAAGAAGGTGGTGTTCTTCGGCAGCAGCCCGTAGAAGCTGTTGTTTGGACATATGACACCGTAGAGCCCAGCTTGTGCAGAACCAGCTACCACATTAGTGAGCACAGGCTTCGTGGAATGCTGAATGCAATTTTATTTTGCGCATTAGATTTACTTCGGGTCTATCTTACTAGTGAGGAGGGGGTGCATTTAGGGCAGTTGTTCACGATGCCTGCATCAATCCAAATTTTTGCATTGGTAGGAAGCTGCAGGGTGCGTGATCCTTTGCAAAAATCGGGCTAGAAATTGGTACAAAGTGGTATAAGCAGCGGAAGCACCAAATGCTCCCCTCCCTACAAGTATATTAGAAGATATTATTGAGAAAAGTAAATCAAATGGACTGCCTCCTGGATATAGGCGATGACTCCTTTGTCGTTCCTCCCTTCTATGTAACCAATATGTCCACCAACAGCCTGACAAGTACTGTCTGCGTCAATCCATGTGGGCGCCTCCACCGGTAGTACTTCCAAGCAGTGCTTTTGATCTGATTGGATCTCGATGCCATTGCATTCACACGCGTTTGTTCCTGAACTCTTCTCGGGTTAGGATTCAGAAGAGTAAAGTATTTGAGTTTTTGTACGTGCACCACCATGTGGCGCATGCAGGTAGGGATTGTGCAGGCTTCGGCGAACAGCAGGTAAAGCGTGGCTCCGTATCTGATCTTTGAAAGAAGAGATTTCTCTTTAATGACAACATCTAAACCCGCCGTTCTTCTCTAAATATGGGATGCAATGGATGAATGGGAGCGCAGGCAAAGTCAATCGTCCGTCGTGTAAAGACCAACAGCGGGATCGTGTTTGGGCACCAAAAGGGGCTCGTATGCCCAAGGACGAACCACAGAATTTGAAGGTCCCAAGGCGTAGCAAATTAGCAGAGATGTGCAGACTTTTGTTGGTCCTATCACAACTGCCAACCATAGACGAGTACATGGCGCGCCCCAGAGCTGGATTCCTCACAGGGACACGCCGTATTCCAGTGAGCACGACTCCTTCTTTCAGAGGTGTGTCGATGCCACACCAAAGTGAGGAAAGCGCAAAGAATCAAGCGGGTTGACCTTTAGTGTCCTAATAGAAAACCCTTGCAAAAGAATAGCTTTAATTTCAAAGCTTTCCAAAAGATACAGCTCCTTCCACAAAGGACTGGTCATGTTGATTTCAATACATTTATCGCTTCTCACTATAACAACTTTGGAAATACTTATGGGTGTTCGAAGATTTGAATCACACGTTTTAGGAAAACGGCCTAAAAATCACAGGGGAAAAATGACAGCGGTACCGTTTCCTGAATGAATGATCTGTCAGGGAACGTTGAGCTTTCTTTAAAGCTAATCTTGTAGTTTCTAATCAGCCTTAGGGATCTGCAAAAAGTTCATTATGAAGAAAGTTATGAACGTTTGAATGTTGAAAACTCGCACTTTTCGAACCACTAACAAAACGGAACAACGGGACTATTTTCTGAATAGTCATCTTTCAAAAAAGTTCCACACTTTTGGGAACATTCTCCTAATTTCTATTCACCCCTAAAGATGCACGAAAGGTTTATCATGAAGGAAGTTATAGACGCTAGAGTGTTGAAAACTCGCGTAAAAATGGAACAACGGCGCGGTTCATGAAGAATTAAAATTTACAGCAGCTTAACCAAGCTAATCGTATAAGAAAACAACTGGAATTTCCAAAATTCTTATACCCGCCGCACACGAACTGAACTGAAGAAAAAGGCAAGCTTTCAAGTGGAGGGATTTATACTTATTTGAATTTGACGTTTGCAATCTATAAAGAACGGAAATTTTGTCTTTCGAGGTGAGTTTCTGGAAGTAAAACTCTCTGCAATTACAAACATACCAGTTATACGAAATTTTAGAAATTATCCTTTGTGTGAGGGGTGAAATTTCATGTAACCTCGATTCCTGTCCTCTGAGCGGACAAAGCGCGCTGCATTTTGAAGCGTGTGGCGTAACTTCCCACTGTCTACAAACTATTTCCATACAGATGACGGTCCGTACCTCCATGGTGGGCATATCAAAAAGACATGAATATTCTGCGAGGAGGTAGTACTGGTACGCCCTGATGGGGGGGGGGGAGCGTAAAAAAATGAAATAGGCACAACGGACGGTTGACCCTGGCTGCAAGTGGATCATTTCGGAAAAAGCGGAACAACCTTTGAATGGGAAATTAGGCTTCATTAGGAGAAGTAGTCTCGGTATGTGTGTATGAAATTCACTGCAATTTTGTCAAATACCAGCCGTTAAGGTCCGGGAATTTATGTTATTCCTCATTATTGATATGCAGTATACACGGGTATACCTGGATAATGAGAAATATAACAAAAATAAAACAATAATAGTCGTGCACCATCATGAGGCACCCGTCGTCCGTTATATGTTAATCTTCTGGAAATCACAGTTGAAGATTTTCCCTTTTTGATGACCTTTCGAGTGTCAGCTGCATTCACTGTGACAAAAGGCAAGAGAGAAGGCAAATTCACATCTCTCAAGGCTAAAGTAGTGATGGCTTCTCCTGTCTTTCGGCTTTTCAGGTGCCTAAGTAGGAAAGAATTTCGAGTTTTCAGTAAACGTTACTTTCTGTCAATCTCTGATGACTACAGTTGGGAGTTGTGCAGGGTGAAAAATTCATTGGAAAAGGTATATCGATCATTTTCATTTCGGGCGCTGCTAAATAGTTGTGCAGGTAGGTTCTCTTGTGAACTGCATCGTTATTGGGGTAAAACTGCCAGTATCTCTGAGATGGCGAGAGGTGATCCAAGGTGACCTGCGATCATTCGCGTGCGCGAGCAAGAGACTGCATCTTAGGACATTGTTAAATTTCTTGGTGTTCCCGTGAACACAGTAAAGGTGGCCAACAAACGATGCAGGAGAATAAGAACACTCATTCACAAGCCTGTACAAGGAAGAATGGTCAGCGTGTTCACGGATAGAATCAACGAAATGTTTGCTTAGCAATCCACGGTGCTTCATCAGAAGGATGCGAAGTCATCGATGTGGCGCTTCATTAGGGAAAAGCAGCACTACAAACTCTATCACATGCAGAAGTGCCGCTTCATTCTGTTCAGCAACAAACAGCAGAGGCCGAAAAGTTGGAAGGTTACTAGCGCGCTTCACTGGCGACACGCAACTCTCGATCGTTTTTTCTGACGAGAAAATATTCGCTGTGGAGCCGGTGTTGAATAGCCAAAGCGATCACATTCTAGTCAGAAGTATCGGGAGTGTCATCTCACGAGGGAAGATTGTTGAAGAACGGCTAACTCGGCATCAGTAATGAATTGGGTGTGAGTCGCGGCCAATGATGAGATGCCGTTGAATTTTGCCGATTCATGTGTGAAGATCAGCAAGGACGCGCGCGTATTAGTGAACGTATTGAAACCCTTTGATCCAACCCCCCATTTGGACCAGCCCGTGGTGCTAGCACCAGGAACAGTGCACCCGCCTATAGCCAACGCTCGTCTCCGATGGCACCGCATGCGAGCTGCGATTTGCCCTCAACTTCGTCGCCGCAAAGGAATGGCCTTGCTTGCTCCCTCAACCGAGCTTGCGACGATTAGAATGAAGGTCGAAGAAAGGGAAACTGACCTAGTTGAGGGACCCGCGGACCCTCTGGGTGCGAACTGACGCGCGATTCGCATGGAAAAATTTGACCTCGCGACGACCTATCATGCCTCAAAGCTGGCGGGTCCGGCGATCTCCGCCACGATGAATCAAATAACTAGTACAACTGCGTAGGCTCGCAGCATCGAAGATAGGTTGAGAGAGAAGTGTCAAAAACAAAAGTGAAAACCCGAACTACGCGGCCCCACACCACCACAAAAAACCACTGGCACCCCCGCCAAAGAAAAGGCGAACGCGATGAGAGTCGCATACAATGCTACACAATCAGGGGCGATGGAAGGTCCCGATTTCCATGGGTTCCTGGGCGCGGTTTCTTCATGGTTTTCCTTCTTATCGTCGTGTACCACTCACCATCCCTACTTAATTTGAAATGGGTTGCTTTTTCATAGTGAATTCGTCTTTTAATCTTAATCACTGGAACTCTCAGTCTGGTCCATGATTAAGAGCAAGGCATGTCGAGCTCGTCGTATGAATCTGCAACCATTGCAAGCAGCAATCAAAGGAAGCCTGGGAAGAATTGGATAAGGAACACCTGCGTGCAACGTGCGAATGGTGCAAGAAAGAACCTTCAGCAGGCTTTATCGTGTTGGTGAGGACCGTTCTGAATCTGGGTCTGTGCTGCCTCTGTTTAGTGTATTGATGTTAGTAATAATTATTGTTTCATATTCAATTACCGATTCCGATGTGAATACAGTTCCGGCAAGACATTGCCATAAATACGCGCCAAGTATATTTTGGGATCCGTCTACCCTCGTACCCTTCGGGGTGTTCTGCCGTTCTTAAGTGCATAGCGGTAATAAGGTTAAGAAGTAATTCCAAAGAAATGCCCTGGATCAATTAGTTATTGTGAGCTGATTACACGTCAGTAATGATAGACATGTAAAACTCGGAGAGAAGCGAAAGCAGCACATTTTACTCATTTGAGATTGAAAGTTAACAAACAAACCTGCAACAGAAAGGCAAAATAGAAGTAAGGCCGTCAGAGTCATCTCAACAATGCAGCATAGAAACGAAACCAACTGGCTGATGTATCCATGCAACCGAATAATATGAGTAAATCAACGAACACATCAAAAACGGTCATCGCGATCGACCGTCGGTCACATTGTAACTCAACTGAAAAAAATTTTTTGAAGAGGCATAACATCAGAAGGCTGGAAAATTGGTCAACCCCATCGAAGGTCATCAAGGCATTAAAGTCTGGCTAGATCCCTGTCACTGCAAAGCCCTACGCGTTGAAAACTGATTTAAGGTCTATGTAACAGCGTGCTACTAATCTATGACGCAGACTCAGACAAAGTCCTATTATTTGTTACGTACCTCCAAAGGCAGCTTACGCCCGTTTGACCAAACTGCAATAGGTTTTGCAGTGAAGCTTGATGGCAGCGAAATGAATGCGGATCTTTCTGCACTGCAGTTGTGTCGGGCTATACTATATTTGACACATTCACTCACGACGCCGATGGCCGCCCATATGGGCTGCCAACAACATGCGCTCCTGGGACGATGGCAGCCCATATGGGCTGCCAACTGATAATCGCTTGCCAGGCGCTAGGAATGGACAGATAGGTGGGCAAACCTCGTAATCGAGTGTAAAATGCTTTAAATTCCTTCACGGGGAAGTGTGAATAAATGCTCTCTTTTCGTAACCACTATTTGTCGTTCTGATCGAAATCCTACTGTTGTTATATTTCAGATAATCTTTACGCATTGGACATTGCAGAAATTATTTTGTGACATTTATGTTTTTTTTTTCATTTACAAAACAAAATTCCCGGCAGCGGCGCCCACAAAATCGCGTCCGTTTCACGCGACCGAAAAGTGGAAAAGGGGGCGTCGTCGTGAATGTGTTGAATGTGAGATTGGTGAAGGGATAACTGCCCCATGGCCCAGTAATTGCGCGGTAAGGTTTTCTATTTGCCTTGACTTGCAACGGTTAGTTTGTTGCAAATGGTTTCGGAGATTAGCTGAAATCAAGTTTTGGGACTGATCAATATACACCGCCAGAACCGACACAATTTAATTTTGCGTCGAATACTTCGGCCCACAGGGTTATTTGATTGCCTGATCACGGAAATGAATCCCTTCTGACTTGGCGCTAATTTGGCACGCCAATTGGCGCCGTTTGGCGCCGACTATTTCGCAGGCGCCCAAAATTCGGCTGTAAAGGTTGTACTACACATGGTTATTTGGGTCCTGATTCCCGGATATGACCTCGTTTTTAGGCATTTGCACTATGTTTAACGCATGATCGTTTTTTTTTAGGATCTCTCACTTGTAGCTATACCCATTGTTGATCTAAAGCTATGAGGAGGAGCGTTCCTAGGTGGGTGAACCAGGCAACGTGTGGCAAATGTTGAAGCGCTTATGATCATAGGATGAGTGATTTACTCATCTCGGAGCGCTCCTTCCCCCAAAAGCTTAGTCCTTGTCGGCATAGCATAATCAGTCGAGAGGCGCCAGTAACATGCCCGCAAATAGGGCAAGCGCCAGGTCGGCAAACCAATGTCATATCCGTAATCAGGACCCCGAATAACCCCTGTATACAAGTTTACAGCGAATTTGGTGAAAATAGCCCTGGCGCCAGATGGCGCCAACGTCAAAATGAATGTCATTTTCGTAATCAGGGCATCGAATAACCCTATGGGCGAAGTTTCGACGAAAATTAAAATTTTGAGATTTTGGGGTTGTAATAGTTGAATAGTGCCAAATTTTCAAAACTTATTAAGGAATAAATTCATAAAATTTGAATTCGAATGGTGTATCATGGCTTGTCATTCTTTTTCTGTCATACTCCACCGCAGTTCCTGCCCAAATCTGTGCTTCTCCAAATCGTCGCAGCCATCGCGTGTGAAGGATGATCCTTCCATTCTGCTGTTCACGATAATTCGTGTGGAATCCACCGTCGTTTCTGCAGACCTACTTCGTTTCGCTATTTGCGAAAACTTATCACCTTCATACCCGGCTGCCTCACAAAAGCTCCGCTCCGAAAGCTCGCCAAAAAAGGCTTGCAAACTTGGGAGAAGCACTTGCAATACTTTTGCAACTCTTTGGCTTTTGGTTTCCTTTGTAATTAATATTTCGGGATCTCACATTGCTTTTATCGCTGAGAACTTTGGAATCTCAATGCTTTTCTTGAATAGCCCTAGGAATAAACTTTACGGGATACTTACCTTAGACAGGCCCATATATTGATGCGTTCGGGCTGGAGCGAACCGAGCCATCTTAAAACAGAGTGGAAGTGGTGAAGGCAGAAAGGCCCGGGATCCAAATGAAATTGTTTAATGTTGTGCCCGAAGACTCAATTCCTATTCTACTCTCTTGAACAGCCACATTCTCGTACCTATTGCTGCCTTTGAGCATCTTTTGAAAGTTTCACAATCTGTCGTATCCATACCCATTGTTCATCGTTTCTATCAATAACACACCCATCATCTTGCGAAGTTTTTGTTAGTTCTATCTAACATCCCTGCAAACTAGAAATTGCGCAAACTCACCCATCCAATACAGAAGAAATGGATAATCTTTATTTATTCATGTGTTTCCACATCTGCTAATGAGAGTTGCTCATTTTCAATGAAAGAGCTTGATAATGGTGAGTAACGAAACAAAATGTAAGAGAGTCAATATGAATAACACATTTTGGAGATCATAAAATTGAATTCAAGTTGGAGCGAGTTTCACGTACATCTACCCACAGATGATTCCCTCCTTCGCCATTAAAATCCAACGATCACATAACAATTGCACATATGTAGGAGATAATTTCCACACCGAATAACGAAATAAAGAAACTTGAACTAGAAAAGTTGATTACTATAATTACACGATATTCAAAGGGAATACAACAGTCATTAGACACAACTGAGGCGGGTTCAGCATTTGAAGGCACCATTCCGTGACTAACAAGGAAAGTCCCTCGAGTCGCCATGGCCATTCGAGAAGAGATGTATACTCAGGTATGCGTCTTGGAACGCTGATCTCGAATCCGTCTCCCAAATCTGCTAAACGATCCGGAGAGAGAAGTTAGGGGGGTGGTTTCACCATGGAGGTCCAGTTCTTAATGCTACTCGACAACCAAGCAGTCGTGCTTCGGTGGCGCAGCCGGTAAGCTGTCGGACTTGCAGGAGCAGCACCAAGGTTCGGATCCTTGATGCATGTGTTGCTTTTGCATTTGTCTTAAAATATTTTTTAAACGTTTGCAAAACAGTTTCGTAGCCAACTTTGACTATTCCAACCCTTTCTCTTGCTACATGAGGTGATTTCTGAATAGAAACTCCTTTCTTGCTCGATTACCTAACGAGGCCGCATCTAACTCTCCAACCTTGATTCACATCCGGGTGAATTTGAGACCCCTGTACAATACTGTTTTTCATCCCAACTGGAGGAATGTGTGAGAGCGATGGATGCAGCGAGTTTTTCTTTATCCGATGTTCGCACTGTGAAAAGCTTTTCTGCTTCACTCATTTTGTGATAGATTATCACATATGCTCAGCAGGTGTTTCTGAAGCATCACTGTAAAATATGCATGAAATAAATATTCACAATTGGCTTTAAAAACGAAGTCATAGTTGAATAAGTCACAGTAGAAGTAACCTCAGGAAACTAGTTTAGAAAAGGATAATAGAGGTTGAAAGTGGTCAAAGTTGGCTACGAAACTGTTTTGCAAACGTTTAAAAAATATTTAAGACAAATGCAAAAGCAACACATGCATCAAGGATCCGAACCTTGGTGCTGCTCCTGCAAGTCCGACAGCTTACCGGCTGCGCCACCGAAGCACGACTGCTTTGGTGAAATCACCCCCCTAACCTCTCGGATCGTTTATAATTAGCACATTAGCAATGTAAAAGGGAAAATGCTGAGCACCGTGGAGAACACATGCGCTTTGCAAGTATGTGCGAGGTTTGCGACCCTCGCGTCAGGAGAGAGAACAAACTCCGCCCCCTTGTTCAGCGCACCGTGTGACTGCAAGATTCTTAGCAATTTCTGCTTTCTTTCGTTACTCCTAGTCCAGCCACCACAACTGTTTTCATTTCAAACGCAAGAACACAGATATTCAATCTCGGAAGTGCCTTCAAAAGAAAAGCGAATAAAATGGTTAACCCTCATCCTTAACATTGCTCAACACAATAGCTATCGGCTTTCACAGTCACATTACGTCAAAACGCTTTTTTCTTTCGTAGATTGAGCCTGAGCACTCATTTTTGTTTCCCATCCCACGGTCCCTGGAAGACGTTCGACCCAACTGTGACTGTGACAGTTGTTTTGTTACGACGACTTAAGATCAATGGCAGAGTGCATCATGGAATTCAGACCTTTAGCGATTAGTTGTCGAGAATCCACCTTGCAGCAATGCATCGTAATGGAAATGAGAACAAACAAGCTGAAAGGAAACACGTGTACAGGCAGGAAAAACCAGATTTCGTATTCCGTTTCCACTACCTTTCTAAAAAGTAGGATCCAGCTCCTCTCCAAACATGGCCAGTGTGAAAACATCATCTTAATAGGAACTTGCACCTTAAGGTAATGTACTTTCATAAGATGATCATAAGCTCAGTTGCTTTATCGACGAGTTCCGGACAGGGTCAACCGACCGTTCGCACTATTTGGATGAGGGGTCGGGTCGCTTTCAGGATTGAACAACGTTAACTACTTCTGGAAAAGTGTGAACGGGAGTGGGTCGTACTTGACGGGGTTTTTTTATCGATGAGCTTGGCAAAAGTAGGTTTTTGGAAGTAGGGTAAAGTAGACAGAGTGAATTTGAAGTTTCATGTACGAATTCACCCCTAGCTCGAAGGCTGTTTCGGAGGAAAAGGGCGGAGTTCGGTGTGTCGACTGGTCTCAGAATCAAATGCTCTAGATACAACCATGATGATGCGGGGTGGTGATCGGGGTAGGGAGGGGGTGCCGTAAGGGACTCTCCTAAGGCTGATGGTGGTCGTGGGGGGGCATCGACCGTACAGGGGAAGACGTCGCAAAAAAATTGGAAAAGTGCAAACGCGACGGTTCACCCTGGTTCCGGAGATTCTCGAAGGACTGTTCATGGGTAGCATCTGGCACTCTCTCAAATAACCAAGGTTAGATCAATCTTTCAAAATAGATCGGAATTGTTGATAATACAAGAATTCTGCTTTCGATCGAGTAAGGACTGAGGTATTTCAGAAAATCACCGTAGAAGTTCAAAAACAACACAAATTACAAGAGTGGCAACAATATAAGACGGGTTCCTCGATGAAGAAATCAGACGGGCATCTCTCCATTCATCCCACGCCAGTTGATTCTGATTCGGTGAGGTCGGCTCCAGTTGATCGCATCTAATTTGACACAAAGCTTCGAGTCGAAGCCGTTCACAAAGGCATCGCGTCACCAACGACTAAAAAGCTATGATCATCGAAGTTGACTGTGATGAAATGAAACATGGATCGGAATAAAAATATTCTTTTTATTATATAATTTTTTACGGCTATGCTTTGATTTGTTTTGCTAACTGCAGTTTTGGTAGCTCAAGATGCTAATGCTATCACATGGGTGTTGAGGTGACCAAAGTATTGGCCCGTGCGAAAATCAAGCCCCAACCTCTCGCTCTCGGTACTTGTGCTTTTCGGCAGAGGACGAAGTGTGAGTCATGATAGTCTATAGTGAATCTATCAATGAAAACTAGGTTGAGGTGAAACTGTGCCCTAGTGGTGCAACAGGTAACGCTAATGTCCGGAAAGTGATGGATGCATATCCGATTCCCATCTGGTGAGAAGCTTTTAGTCTATAACTCAACACCCTTATGATGATTTTATTTATTTGTTTATTTATTTACTATTGCACTCAAGGTGCGCCTAAGACAATCGGCGTGCGTATAAATACAAAGTTGACTGCTAGAAAAATTCAACACACGCCTAGATTAGCGACCTAACTATGCAGAATGTGTCCGTAGGAAATAATGAATTTGTCAGCATTGGCGACCCTTGAAAATGAACGTGAATGAGAAGCTCCTCAAAGAATTCACTACTACCTACAATGAGAATAATAGATTGGTCGTAAGTCGGTAATAGTTAAAAGTAAGTTGGTAACGAAGGAGAGCGTGGTCGGTCTGGGCAATGCAACTAACATAGGTTAGGCCAAAGTAGTTGCCTCTTTGATCTAAACACGAACCCAGGGCGTAAGGACCCAAGCGGTCAGAATCGGAAAACTTGTTGACTCAAGCGACCTGAATCTGGAAATTGTTGACCACCTCTCGCATAATAGATGGATTTTGATTGTTAAATATTGACAAATAATCTCTGATAATTATAACTTCCCGTCGGATCGTCCTTCTTCGAAGTCCGACAGGAAGGGAATTGAGCGGAGGTTATCCTATCAAATCTTCTCGATATTAATTGTCATTTTATCCTTAGACAAATGCATTCAACGCGTGTTCGATTCCGAAGAGTAGGTGAGTGAAGTTCGAAACGAATTTATGTAGGGAAAAGTCTAGGCAAATGAGCGGAGTCTCACTCACATGATAGCAATGGGCATGATGAAGTGTGTATATTTCAGAAAGCGTCGACCGAACCACCAGACATTCCCGTTCCTTGTCCGTTTCCGAATACAGCAGCAGTTTTTTCGAGGTATCAAGTTTGATCTATAATTGCACTATGAATAACAAGGAGTGGATCCGATGGCAGAGGCCTCTGGATGCTCAAGCTGCTCGCATCTAGCGCTAATGCTAATTTTTCTGCAGCAACGGAAAAAATGACATCAGAAAAATAATCTGACAATTAAAATAGTGAGCCTATACTTGATTTTCGGGTCTTCAACGACGTCCCTGGTGGCAGTAAGGACACAATTCATATGAGGAGCCTGGGAAACCCGACAGGAGGCCCGTCGCGCGGCAAGAATGCAATGTGAGCGGACGAGTCGCACCGCGTGATATGCGGCGTAAGACGTTCAGTGGTGCATTCTGTTTAAATTGACGCAAAAATTACGCTTAAAGCACCCTGCCGACTCGTGCGCTGACGTTGCATTCTTGCCGCGCGAAGGGCCTCCTGTCGAGTACCCGAGGAGCCTGCTCTCAACGTAATAGGTTTTGGTGTAGAAGCAAATGGGTTATATTTTACAGTACATTGTTTGAAAAAAAACCCCATCTGAAACAATGGCGTTGCAATGCAGAACCTGTCGCGCGACAAGAATATCGCGGAAGTATTCCAGTGTTCACGTCAGAGACGGTGCTGTTCAGGAAACCCACCGCGTGGAGGTTCTACAGATGCCTCTGGCCAATAGACTAGGCTACTGCGGCGCTTCAGGGCCAAATAAATTGGACGTGGAATTTTGCGTTATATTCTGGATGCAGGAAGGCTACATGTAGCGGCATCTCACCATTCACCCGAGCATGCGAGACCGGAAAATGGACGAATACGCTACTATCTCGATAATGCATGCCTATTCCATCAGGACGGACCCGCTGCACCAACCCTGATGAAGGAACACGGATATCTGAGTTTTATCCCGTTAGCGAGTTGGTATCAGAGCGACTACTAAGATCAACCGTCTGTGTGCCACGTTCCGTGGGGAGTCGTACCTGTCACCTCAGTTAGGGGTGATGGTAAAAGTTGAAAAGATCGTGATTGGAGAGTGGGGTCGGCTTAGGGAATTGAAGAAGGGACTTTCTACAATTTCAACGAAAAGTGCAAGGGATGGGAGAACGTTCGAACTTGCTGTATATCCCTACCTTCCCCAAAGTGCGTCTTTTAGTCTCAGAACCTAACGCTCTAGAAACAGCCAGCATTGTGGTGTTACATGGGAAGGAGGGAGAGATAGTGGTGAGGTTAGGGACAGAAGGCTCAAAACTGCCGATGACGAGGAGTCGTGTTGACACACCCTTAGGGGAAGGGAGAGTCGTGAAAAATCCCGAGTAGACACGACTAGCCGTTAAGCAGGGGGGCACTTCACACAGTGTTCCAAAGTATGCGCCCAAAATTCTACCGCTCTTTCGAGCGAGGCTATAATCATTCCTAGAAAAACGAAGCGAAACACACCGAAGCAATCTGTGTCTGTCGAACTGAGGATATCCTGCTCGAGGCTTCATACGCTCTTCACATTGTGACATAATATTATGTACATGTTCACTGGAGCAGTTTTTACTTCGACTCAACGCGCACTGCGTTTGAAGGTATCCAAGAGTCGAAACCAGTTGTAGCCGTGATGGAGCATCATCCACTGGAGCTCCAATCAGAGGGTTCGCCTGAAATACCTCCTTTGAAGTGCTTGAGGGAACAGTTTATGCAGAAGTAATCACAACCCTTTAACTTACCCCTTCGGATGAAGTATGCGATCTTCGATAGTCACACCGAGCTAGTGCCACTCGATAACCAGCGGCTCCAGCAGTACTCACAGCATTTGCGTCGCATTTCCCGACACGACGTTCAAAGCACTCATCGAGCCACTAAAAAATTCTATACATACCTATAAATATTATTTTATCTTTGCAAAATTCACAGGAGAGTAATCCAGGTACTGCGAAAACCTATGAAATGTGAAACAAATGAAAACCCAAGAATAAGGCGTAGAAATGAAGCCGCTAATTCGTCGTGACTTTCAAAACCTTATTGAGCAAAATTGGGATTACGCAATTCACACAGACTGTTGCAGAAATATGCCCCCTGTCTTGCGATAGCGTCTAATCTTCTTTTCAACCACTTATTCTAGTTCTGTTGAATTCGAGTCCACACAAAACTAGCCTCTCGGCTATTCTCACACATACAATTTGTACTATTTTATAAGCAAGAGAGAATAGAAAGACTTCCACTGTCAAGTCTGGAGCCCCATATTTTCAACGTATGCTTTAACAATTTAGAAAAGCTGACAGTAACAGGAAACCAACAGAGACAACAGTATAACTTATGACATTGCCATTGTTTAGGATCATAAAGCATTAGGTATCCCTTGCTTTTACGTGCATGAAATTTGATCCAAGCGAACGTTTCACGGGCCCTGGAGTAGCAACTGACTCGTGACATGCACAGGATCAACCACCATCTTCAAAAACTTCGTTCCACGAAAACTCCTAGGTTCTCATGCAATCCCTTCGATTATGATACTGTTGGTATCCTGATTGTTCTGCTGACCCGTCGAATCCCCTTCGATCCTCACAACCATAGTGCTACCATCAGCCTACCTCTTTATATAGCCCTACCGGGTTTGTTGTCCGACGGCGGGGCATCTGCTGGCGCAATTCCTATTGACAAAAGGGAACTATTAGAGCCTGTCATATAGTGAAGCTCTCCACTTAGCAAACTAAGACATGTCAAGAACTGTGACGTATTCTGAGAGGAACTGACCTATTTCCTGCCCTACCTCTTTTTTTCTTTTTTCCACATCCAGAAAAAGTGGGCGCACCACAAGATATCGGGCTTCCCCTAGGACTAAGCCTTCGAGGGGGGGGGGGGCAGGAGCTACGAAAAAGATGAAAATCACTCACTCTGGAGTCTCCCTTTCCTCCGCCAAGGCTTAGTCCCTTTTCTGACAGAAACAATCGTTTGACGCGGTTTTACTTACGTGCGTTATCGTCGCATGCTCGCATCTCTTGCGATAGGGCCTTATTTGTTTGTTTTGTTGTTTTGTTGTTTCTTCGAAGCTTTAGATGAATGTTGGTTCTTAACATGTTCTGGTTTGTTTGCTGGCTGCTCTTCTCAGAACGTTCTCAGATGCCCCGCCGTCGGACAACAGACCCGTCCTTCCTGCGACCCTCTTCTGAAGTCCAAAAAGACTATCGACCAGGTGACCGGTGGAGGAGTATATGTACTGTATCATCTAGGCAGGGCTGGGGATTTTTTCGAAATTTAGCACAAGAGCACGGATTGAATCATTCCGACCACTTGGTATATATGTAACGTTACTTCCCAACATTCAGTTTTCCGAGTTGGGTTTGAAATGCGTAGCTCAAAGCATGGCAGCCTGTTTTCCAAAAACGGACACACTGTGAGGAAGTTCGAGAAAAAGAACGCCTGAAAGAAGTTCTGAACAGAAAGCTATAAAAAGCTCGCCTACCGTATAGTGGACGCATTTGAGGGCAAGATGTCGTTCTGTGCACACTTCTCCCATCATTTCAAACAGCTCCGCAAAACACGAGACTCCGGAAGTTGAATTACAAACTGAACGCCTGAAATTTTCTCGTAACTTCCAGGCATACTCGGACAGCCCATGTATAAGATTGCTATACGAAATGTGAAGCCTTGTAGAGGTTTCAGCTGATTCACCGTTTATGTGTAATAGAGAACATCTGCTATGAAGGAATTAATTCTCTGGTCCCCCTTAACTCCCGTAGAGGTCCCTCATAATTAGTAAGTGATACTAGCATAAGATCAGAGCGTCGAAAGTCACGCATGGTGGTTTTTTATCAGAACAAAATCCACGTGTGCCACATGGCGACCTTCCTACGCGAAACAGGATAAAAAGTGGGTATGGGGGAAGGGGGAGAGCCAGATAAAAATGTCAAAACGACGATCATAGCACAGTCGGCGAAATTTCGAGGAACTGGGATCCGCTGGTGATGGAGTAAAATATTCCTTAAAGGCACGGGCCGGGATGAATTGGTTGGTGTGTTATTTTGATCGAGAATTGAAAAAGTATGATGAGAAACGGAGAAAAGCAAAAAGCACTATGGAAAACACTGAAAATTCCCTTGTGATGTCGGTCGTAATATGACGGAGAGCAGCGGGAGAGTACGTCGTACGTAGGGCGCAAACGCTATGTACGTATGCGGTGATTGTGTACAGTAGCAGGCCGTCAACGTACGTACGAACAGTACGAAAACGGCCGTACGAAACAAGGACTTAGCCCTTGCGGCCCACTTTTGAGTTGTGGCTGTGACGCTGCGCCTGGGTTTTATTTGATCTCGGCTCTCTCCAATTAATGTTAATACTACTCCTCTCGCCCCAAGCCGACCCCGTCGCCTAACATCCCTCCTCAACCAACCAGCAGGCTCTCCCCATCCCGCATCTCACCATCTCACATGACGCATCTGCCTCGTTAGCGCGAAACCATGGCTCCCGCAGCAAACCTGTTTCTTCTAAGCGTAGGCCAGGGCCCACAAATTTCAATAGATTCCGAAGATGCATCCCGCCTAGATTCATAGTTGGAGCATTTGATTTGCTCTTAGGGAAGAAGTTAAACTTCTTTGCAAAAGCGGATGAAGGACCCCCTTTTGAAAAGGATATGCCGTTTTTAACACGTATTAATCCAATGCCTCTTAATTTTGAGTAAGCCCAGACAAACCACTTACGTTGCACTATGATCGTACATCAAGGTATTGACGAGTGGTTGAGGTGATGAGCGTGTCCCTAGCACAGAACCGAACATTCAGACCGCTTATCGACTTCTCTGGCGTTGAAGCAGCACTCTGACTCTCGTAACCATAAAGATCATAACAATTGTCGTGAATCCTATTTCTCCGACCTCGACGAGACCGCGCAATACAAATCCCGGCAGCTCCTGTGTATATACCAGTGGCTCGTGAAAAACGAAAAAGCCCGGTTCCGAGATAATCGAATCCCCATCGCTATCGAATCGCAGATACCTTCGTCGCACTAACGAATTCGCACTGTGCACCAGCCGGCTCAGAGCAATATATTCCGCGACCTGTTAAAGTGCCGATGCCGACCCTGCCTCTGATTGCACGTTGATTCTCCACTTTCTCGAGCTCCTATGCCCTCGTGAGCCCGGAGAAGCGCCGAGAGTCAGCGTTCGGGGGGTGCACCCCCACTTTTAAACGGTGCCTAGTCACTGATTGTTTAAACCGCTTGTGCACAGTTCGATTTGCTGGTGCATCGCTTGTTCCTCTACGCTAGCAAATCCCTTGGGTTAGCAAAGTCGGACTTCGACCTGATGAACAAAACAACACTGTAAAGAGAGAACAAATTGTGGAATTCAGCATGCGACAGTCGTGAGTTAGGAGGAAGCGGTTCTGGGGGAGAGAGAAGAAAGGGAACTTGGGAACAGTACGAGTTCGCGTATGTGGTAGATGACAGTTACGGAATACTCACCTCTTTAGTAACTAGCACACCTCAGAAGAGGTGCCACCGCGCACTACAGTGCGTTTCAAAAGTATGTGCACACCCTCAAAATTCACGTTTGAAAGGGAACCATGAGGTTTCGTGCTATGAAATCCTTCTCAATCGATTTCTCGTAGTCGATAACCTATCAATGGAAGCAAAGCAGATAATATCGCTTCACTTTCGAAAAAAATTTTGGGATGAAATTTTTTTCTTTGTTTCAAAAGTATGTGCACACTTAACAAAAGACAAAAACATAGCTGAGATTAGAAATCAGTGGGGCCTCCAGAGTTTCTAATTAGCTCAAACATCCTGTCCGGCATAATCTGAACCACGTTTGGCCCAAATAGCCTCTACCGCCGCCTTCAGTTCATCCGCGGTATTATACTGCCGGTTGCTAAAGTTAACGCCTTGATCAAGGGCTCCCTATAGGGTTGCAGTAAGGAGGACACACAAGCCAATCTATCGCTTCAGCACCATTTGGTTAAGGCCATTCTTTGGTAGATTGCGAAGCATCGAAAGACACGTGGTCCTGTTGCTAAAAATGCAATTTTCGCTCCGCTTCGCTAAGGAAGGGCAACAGGTGACATTGGAGCACTGCTTGGTATTCTTTACAGTTCATACGCAATAATGGAACGGCAACTTCTGAATTTCCGCTGATTGCGAAACCGCCGCAGACCCATCAACGGGCCTCTTCCGAAATTCCTTCTCGAGAGCACGAGCGACTCACGGCCAAGCCTCTCCAGTAGTAGCAAAATCCACCCGGCCCGTCAAGATCGAACTCTTTCCATGAGTTAAGATTACCTGAGGAGAGAAAGTCCATAAAAAGTTGCTTGTTTTGAAAATAGGAAATTCTCGAAAAACCGTGTCTTCGCCCGGTGTCCTATCCTATGTTGCCATGTCTGTACGAGCAGACTCCAATGTGGCTAACTTGTGCTGGGCCTTGAAGTGAGTAGCCTTTCTCAGCGTCTGTCGAGTGGTGTATTCATTTGAGCGGATGAGGGGCTTAGTGGTCATTTTCGAGGCTGGAATAAAAATCTGAGCTCGGACTGTCAATGAAGAATCCGATAGGATGTGGCTACTCTTTTGTTGTTCTGAGCAGTCAAGGATCGTGGATGGAGCGGAGTGTGTGCTGAGTATAATTATCAGGGTGCCAGATAAATCTTCGAATGCATTAAGGAGAACGACCAAGTTATCGTGCGATTTCTAGATTGGAACGTTCATTATCATGCAGAACCTTGATCTGAGCTTGCTCATCTTCAGGAAGAAGTATGGCGCGAATTGACATGATGACGAAATGAAAACAGCAAAGTCGGATTGAAATCGGTGGAAAATTCGGCGCCAAAATCTGATCTTCTTCAAGTGTGCACATACTTTTGAAACAAAGAAAAAAATTTCATCCAAAAAATTTTTCCGAAAGTGAGGCGATATTATCTGCTTTGCTTCCATTGATAGGTTATCGACTACGAGAAATCGATTGAGAAGGATTTCATAGCACGAAACCTCATGGTTCCCTTTCAAACGTGAATTTTGAGGGTGTGCACATACTTTTGAAACGCACTGTAGTAGCATCAAGAAATATTC